ACTGGTGCTGTTTTACAGCTTTGTCAGTGATGTGGCATGGAGTGCGCCCTCAGCAAGTTTGCCAGTGACATCAAGTTGTGTAGGGAACTGTAGGGAAAGGATGTTATCCAGAGAAACCTTGACAGGCTTGAGACAGGCTTGGCAGGCCCTTGACAGGGCCCATGTGAACTGCATGAAGTTCAAAAAGTCCAAGTGTACCTGCCCTTGCCCTGCACCTGCATCAGGGCAATCCCAAGCACAAATGCAGGCTGGATGGAGGATGGATTAAGAGCAGCACTGAGCAGAAAGACTTAGGGGTGCTGGTTGACAAGGAGCCCTCCTGGATGTGTTTTGGCAGCGTGCTCTCAGATCCCAGAAAGCCAACTGCATGCTGGGCTGCATCCAAAGCAGTGTGGGAAGCAGGGGGAGGGACGAGATTCTGCCCCTGTGTTCTGCTGTTGTGAGATCCCACCTGCAGTGCTGCATCCAGCTCTGGGATCCCCACTGTAGGAATGGAGTGGGTCCATTCGAGGATCATGAAGAAGATGATCATAGTGCTGTGGCACCTCTCCTATGAAGACAGCTTGTGAAAGTTGGGATTGTTCAGCCTGGAGAAGAGAAGGCTCTGGAGAGACCTTAGAGCAGCTTCCAGTACCTGAAGGGGGCTGCATGAGAGCTGGAGAGACTTTTTATGAAGGCATGTAGTGACAGGACAATGGGGAGTAGTTTTAAACTGACAGAGGCCAAGTTTAGATTAGATATAAGGAAGAAATTCTTCCTGAAAGGGTGGTGAGGCACTGCCACTCTCTGAGAAGTTGCACAGAGAAGCCATGGATGCTCCATCCCTAGAATTGTTAAAAGCCAGGTTGGATGAGGCTTGGAGCAATGTGGTCTAGTGGAAGGTGTCCCTGTCTCAATGACAGGGGGTTGGAACTAGATCTTTAAGGTCCCTTGCAACCCAAACCTGTGAGTTCTATGATTTGTAATAATGGGGTTAGAAAAGCAAGGAGCACTTGATTTGTTTTGCATGCTGTCATGAGATGCTGCTTTAAGACAATTGGTTGTGATTTCTGTGTTTCTATTCACTTTGATTTACAGTATAGCAATATTCCTACTCATGAGTTTATCACATTCCAAGACTTAAAGAAACTTTACTCATTTAAGTTACAGATTCATTATAACCAAATCTGTATTTTAATTATTTGCAAATCACATATTATCCAACCTACAGGTTACTGACTGGTGATGAATAAAAGCTACCTCCTAACATTCAGAGCCTTTGTTCTTTAATCCTGGAGTCTTTATGAGCTCTAGCAGAGTATGTAAACGTAAAGGAGAGCAGAGACTGAAAGAAAGTAGCTAGAAAGTTGAAAGCATGTTTAGGATTGCTGCGATGCTTTTTAGACATGGAACTTTGTATTTCTGAAGTGAGCTAAAAGCAGTGGCTGGTGTGGGAAGTTAATTCAGAATAGATGTGGGTTGAAAGACTGTGCGGAAGACTGGGAGACACGCGGTGATAATGATAGTCATCAAACAGGAACACGTGGTGAAGCATTTTTGGAGGGGAAACTCTTTCAGTTTCTATGCTGTTTTCATGTATATTATTCTGTGATGATATTCTAGTAAAGCATTATGGAGATCTGAGGATTTTTCAGTCTCCTACTGTGGTGGATTGACCCTGACTGGATGCCTGGTGCCCACCAAAGCTGCTTTTGTTGCTGCCATTCTTGGCTGGACAGGGGAAATAAAAGAAAACAAAAAGCACATGGGTTGAGTTAGTGACAGGGAGACAAAGGACTCACCAATTACAGTCTTGGGCAAAACAGACTCAACTTGGGGAAAATTAATTTATTATCAATCAAATCAGAGTAGTAGAATAAGAAATAAAACCTAATTCTTAAAATACCTTTCTCCCATCCCTCCTTCCTGAATTCACTCCTGAATTCTCTACCTCCTCCCCCACAGTGGTTCAGGGGGACAGGGAATGGGGGCTGCAGTCAGTTCATCACATGTGTCTCTGCTGCTTCTTCCTCCTCAGGAGGAGGCTTGTCACACTGTTTGCCTGCTCCAATGTGGGGTCCCTCCCACAGGAGACAATTCTCCATGAGCTTCTTCAACGTCAGTCCTTCCCACAGGCTGCAGTTCTTAGCACTGAGTTCTCCAACATGGGTCCCCCATGGTGTCACAAGTCCTGTCAGCAAGGACTCCTCTCTCCACAGATTCACCAGTCCTGCCAGGAGCCTGCTCCAGCATGGGCTTCCCATGGGGTCACAGCCTCCTTCATGCATTCCCCCTGTTCTGCTCTGGGCTCTTCCATGACTGCAGGTGGATTTCTGCTCCTCTTGGAATCTCCAGGGGCACAGCTGGCACCCCAGGGGCTGCACCAGGGGCTGCAGGGGAATGTCAGCTCCAGTTCCTGGAGCCTTCTGACCCTCCTGTCACAGAACTGCGTGCCTGCAGTGGTGCTGCTCTCATGTTTTCTCACTCTTTCTGGCTGCTGCTGTGCAGCTTTTTTCCACCCCGTTTTAAGTCTGTAATCCCAGAGGCATTACCAATAACCATGATGGGCTCAGCCTTAGCCAGCAGTGGGTGGGCCCATCTTGGAGTCGGCTGGCATTGGCTGTGTCGGACATGGGGGAAGCTTCTGGAAGCCTCTCAGAGAAGCCACCCCTGTAGTCCCCCAGTACCAAAGCCTTGCCATGCAAATCCAGTAGACCTACACAGGGGTCCACTCAGAATTTTCCCCAACAACTTTTTAGGGACTGCAGTCCTGAACCCACTTTCAATGAAACTTTCTCTTTTATATGGATGTATGGCACATATGAATGACAAGTCCCAGTGTACAATTTTATGTTTCTGTTGCTGAGGCCATGTGATACTTAATCCCCATCTTTCCATCCTGCTTGTGGTTATGCCAATGGATCTGGCCAAGTTATTTTATTCACGCAAGTCACCTCACAAACAATAGCAAATACTTCTCTCCGTTTTCCGGTATCCTTCTTTGCTGATAAAACTGTGTAAACAAGTGCAAAGCACACAGGATTTTGACTCCCAGAGTACACAGAGGTGTGACTGTAGTTTTTCCTCCATTCAGTATCATTATTTCTCCCCCAAGAAAATATGCGAGGTCTGTTGACTGGAGCTTCTTATGCTGCTTTGAGATGCCCTGCCAAGTTGTATGTTATCCCACTTCCTTCCTGCAGGCAATCCAAACAGTGGAGGCTTCCACAGGAGCCCTGCCCCTCACAACTGCACCACACAACTGCTCAGCTCTCAGGCCCTCTCTTACAGCACAAGAAACGTGGTGGCTCAGTGCTGGGCTCAGCAGGAGCTCTGAGAGCCTGCCACTGCTGAGGGCAGACCCTGAACAGGAGAGCTCTGCAACCCCGCTGTGCTGAGCCCAGGAGATGCCGTGAGCCAGCGGCAACCCCTGGGCAGCTCCACGCTGTCATGCAGATGTGGCAGGTGTGCCGAGGTAAGGCCAGCTCCATTGGCACAGTCACTGTGAAAAGCCAGTTTACTTAGGAAAATGAGATGAAGCAACAGGCTTACAGCACCACTGGAAAATTACTGTGTCGAAGAGAGGCTAAGCAGTGAGGATCCGAATTTCTGCAGAGTAACTAGGGCAAGACCTAAGTCTTACAGGTTTGCCTTAGAGCTTTGTATCTGGGCAATAGCCTGGAACTTAGAAATTGGACATTCCCTCTGACTTTTTGTGTTTTGCATCCTTTTGTAATTTTGTTTCTTTTTTAGTGAGGCTATGATCTAGTTGTTGATAGTTGTTTGGTAGATGAGGATTCTGGTCCTGGCTTTGCCACTGAATTGCTGTTTTCCTTGTGAATGTTCATGGAGCCTGGCTTTGCTTCTCTCTTGTACTCCTCTGTCCATCTTATCTGCAGAGATGTAATCTCTGCTCTGAAGAGGTGTCCCTTATTATGTGTTTTGGGTTTTTTGGTAGCAATTGCAGCCTTCTGGTGCACCATCACATATAGCAAGATTAACTGATATTTTCCCTATGGCTCTCTGGAATGTTCTCGTTAAATAGCTGTTCCACACATGTTATTGCCTTGCATCAGCACGGTCTTATTTCTGGTTTTTTAATTAAATTTATAGTTACTTCTGTCACCTACTTCTCTCCTTCTTTGATGCAAAAGCAGACTTTTTAAAAATAGAAGTAGAAGTTTTTTTTCTACTTCTATAGCTGACATCTACCTCTACCTCTGTTTCCACCGAAGTCTTAATCGGTGTTTCTGGAGTATTTGAGTGCACATAGTTCAATCTCTTACAGTTTGACTTCCATGTTTTATATCGACTCACTCTTTTTCCTTGTGCATTACTGCTATCAGTCTGCAATCTGTCTAGTTCTCTTCTTCTGCAGTGTGTCTTCCTTATCCATGTACTTCCTTACCCATCTGTACTATTATTTTGTCTTTGAATGCACATTAATAGTGCTTCTTAACATATGCCACTGCTGCTTTTTCTATTCCATTTCTTCCTTTACCCTGTTCCATGTCCAGTTTCTCTCAACATTTAGTCAGTTGAAATTCATTGCTGTTATTTTTTTCCATTTAGAGCTGACTTAGTCATAATAACAAGGCTTACAGGGAAAGATCCAAGTCTTGTTCAAAGATCTGATCCAAGGCTCATTACCATGGTCACTTGCAGTTACATTTCCCTTCTTTGACTCTGTCAGATCCAACAGCATCTCAGAAGAGGGAAGATCTGATCCGAGGCTCATTACCATGGTCACTAGTTTGTGTTTTTTTAATAATCTTGCAGTTATATTCCCTCCTTTTCCTCTGACTGTCAGATCCAACAGCATCTCAGAAGAGGAATAGTTTCCTCTGAGATCCACATGTAGTCCAAACCACACATTATGCTGGGAACCCAAAATGTGTTCAATTGATATCTAATCTGGCACTTCCTTGTCCTTTTCTGAAGTACCACTTGTACTTGTAAGGCTTTTGATAAGGCAGCCTATTTAAATGTGTTAACTCGTGACTCCATTCAAGCCTTTAGCTGGGAGAACCATTTCTATGTTTGTGAGGTGCACTGGACTGCTAGCCCTCGCTGCTGAACTCCTTTGTTAAGGTATTTATTCTCTCTAGCCATACCTATTTATCCTTCCTTAGGACAAGAAGGATCTTGATAAGTTTCTAAGAATTGTACACCTTAAGGCTTCCTGAAATGGTTTTGGTTTTTAGCTCTGGGAAGGACTAGGAGTAATTGTGGTAAAATGCCTGTGACTCAGTCTGGTTTGTAAGCAAATGGACATGGGTTCCTAACTAGCCCTGAGAATGTGAGATGTATGCCTGCCCTGCTGTGACTGCTACATTTTGTCTCCCTCTTGACAATTATCCATCAGATTTCTCCTGTGAGGCGTCAAGAAGGTGCCTTCCTAGAAGGTGCTTTTGGGGAATGTGACATTTAGCTTTAATGATCAGGCATTAATTGCAAGCAAGTAACTAACTGAAAATACCCATTTTCAGTTAACTTTTGTTAAATGCTATTTTTGGCTTCATATGAGTAAATTGCAGTCTGTCACATGAGTAATTTCTGTCTAATTCCAGGGCCTTATCTAATGGGATCAGATCTTTAAACAAGGCTTGGATCTTTCCCTGTGTATGAATTACTCATGGATAAAGCTGCACAGAGCTTTAATATCAGGCCTTCTAAACAGGTACAGTAAATTATCAGAGAAATGAACACAGCTTTCCTGTACATTAATGCTGAATTCTGATGCTGGGCTTTTTTGAGACATCAATTTAACATGATAGGTCACAGAAAGAGCTATTTATCCAGAGATTTCTTAGCCTTTCCAAAGCATGGGAATTACCCCTCTCTCCTTACAGGCAGGGAAGTTCAGGTGGAGAAGTGAAACATCTTGCTGTCAGTCCCAAAAGGGACAAGGAGTGGAAAAAAGCTGATTGTGGGAATCTTTAAAATAAACCCCCAGCCAGCAATACTGATCTATGTTGTCTTTGGCTCTACCATGCCCTCACCCAGATCACCATGAAATATTTCGGTGGTGTACTAGCCTTCTGAAGCTTTGGATGGTCCCTTAAGGTTTCAAAGTGCCCTTTCATTGGTGGGTGGGTGTATGTGTGTGCATGGGGCACGGAGCACTCCACAGGCTACGCATGTGGCTCATTCCTCCCCATGTGCTCTGGTGCTGCCTTCGCATGCTGTGCTCCCTTAGGAGCATCCTAGTCCCAAATCCTTACCTCCGTACCAGTTGCTCTGGGAATTCAAAAGTGCTTCTTTTGTTCCCTCAGGATAGCAGTTCCTCACAACTCCCTCATTTTTTTTTCCCCCCACACAGACATTTTGGGAAACTACCCTTGCCCTCACCAGTCCCTCATTTTCTGCAGCAAGCCAAGGGCTTTGAATACGCATGTGTTCCTCCCACACCTTTTCCTTCTGTCCGGAGTGTGAATCATTCAGAGCATGTGGCAGGAAGGACAAAGCTGTGGTGGGGGTATTGTTATGCTGGGAGATGCTGCTGTGCCAGACCTTCGATGAAAAGATAATTGCAGGCTAAATTGATGGTTTCTTGATGCCCAGACCTGTTACCAGAGCTTCACATGTCCTGCATTACCCTTCTCTTTTTCTCCAGGATCAGAAGGGCACAGCCTAAAAACGTCTAAAATTTCCGGATTGGGTGGCTGTGGTGTTCAAAAGCCATGTGCATTGCATCTGAACAAAGTGATGCCATCACGCTGATTGCAGGGACGTGAACACTTCAGCAATTCAGTTCCAAATGGAGCGCAAACTGGCTCACACTGGTGAAATTCCACACAAAGTCCCGACATTCCTCCAGTCCTCTTGGGCTCTGCTGGGCTCCAGCTGCAGTCAATAATTGATACAAAGTCTGGGGCTGGGAGCAGAGTACATAGGAACGTGGGTCCTTGTGAAATTCTGAGTTTTGAACCTTTTGAACATGTGAGTGCTGTAAAGGCAGTCTGAGCATCCAGAATGCCTTACCCAGTTAACCAATCTGTGTGCAAGCTGAGACAGTTTCCCAGTTAGATTTGTCCTATTTCGCTACTTTGTGCTGAAATAAAATGAATTTCTGAAATACCAGGTCAGACGTTCACTGCATTTTTGCCACTACAAAAGAGTGCTATGATACATCCCATAAGCATACTCTTAAGAGGAAAAAAAGAAGCATAGCTAAACCATACCTAGAATTTGGTTATAGTTTATTTTTTTCACCTGCTCAATTATTGAAGCACTGAGCCTAACTTTGACCACCAGAAATGCAATTTTGCATCAGGGTTAAACATGTATATTATATTCACATATAGGTTGTATTGTCTCTACTATGCTGGAGAACCCAGATCTGCTGTTTCAAACTGGTTTTGTGTTGGTGGTTTGAGAAGAATGATTCCCCAGTATCACTCTGCAAAGGAAATCAATGTGTTGAAACAAGAATATTTCAGTGACGTTGTAAAGTCTTTTTTCCTTGCACATCATTCATGTTACGTCACACTGGTTTGTTCTAAACATGTCACTGTTATTCTAAACAGGATGTCAGCAAATTCCTTGTGTATGTGTGCTCATACACACATGTGTTTACATGTTCACTATTGTTTCACATGTGTGTGCCCCTCTTTGTGAAAAAGCTAGCAGAGAACTAGGCATTGCTGATAATATTCCTGCTTTAGGAATATTATCAAGTTTTCTGAACAGGTTCAAGCTTTTATTGGCAATTAGTACTGTGTAAAGAAAAAGTTCATCCACCCACATCCTAATTACTTGGTTGTTAGGAGTATTTTTAGCACCATGATTTGGTAATTGGTTCCAAATACAATAGTTTAGAAAGAGACACAGTGCCCCAGCAAACAGTGAAACAAGAGTACAAGGAGGGGATGAGGCAACACACAGTATCAGATGTCAGGATGGAGCTGTGTAGAGCTCCCACCTCCCTCGTTGTTTCAGGTGGGTGGAAGGAGAAAGAATGTGAAATAGTGGATCTGTGGTCCTTCCCACTTGGCCACACGGCAAGACAGCTGCTCAGGCAAGTCAGCAGGTGAGTGCTGTAATAACCATAGACCCAGCAGCACCACTCACTGAGGCAGAGTCATGAATAAACACAATGGCCCTTACTCATGGTCGATTATCATCTCATAGTCTAGTCTGGGAACAGACTTGCTGCTCCGCACAGCCCAGATTGTATTGTTCTTCTTATGGAGCATCTTTCCTTCTGGAAGTGCCTTACTGGGGAGAAGATAGCTGGGCAGAAAGACTTGACAGTAATTTCCAAAGAGATTATTTCACGGTGATCTCCAAAAACCTTACAAAGATCAAATCATGTTTTAACCAAGTTGTTGTATCAAACTAGCTGACTTCAATTTCCCTAGTATTTCTGAGGAACATGATTTCCATTAGTTTGAGTTTCTAAAAGGGTAAAGGCAGAAACAGTGCCACATTTGTGGATATGGGCACCTTCTAGATGATGGGTGCAACCCATCTCACCTGTGCTTGCTGCTCTGCAATGGGAATTCTATCCCAGGAACTCTGTGCAAATGCATGAAATTCAGAAAGCGCAGCTGGCTGGAACCAGGAAGCAAAGTAGTGCAGTTGAGTCTCCTTCCCAATGGATCAGAATGCAAGAGGAAAACAAACAATTCCAAAGGGGAAAAGTAAATTAAAAGATCTGTTTTACTTGGATTTAAGAAAGCAGTTAACAAGCAAATCTTACAAAAGAGTATTATAGCACAGAGTAAGCAATTTTTATCTTGATGCTGTTCCTTTAAACCAGCCTGAACTTTGTTGGGAAAAGGTCTCAAGCCATTGAGCAATGTCTGGTTTGGGCAATCACGTTGCTATGCTTCATCGGATAAGCACAGCAGTAATTCAGAAAATGAAGCCATGCTGCATCTGTCATATAATTTAAAATTTACTTCAGTTTTGCAGGTATTTGAAGATTGCAAAATGACCCACATTTTCCTGCAATATTCTGCCAACACTGGAATCTGGTCTGAACCTAATGGATTTCCTTATCTTTAGCTTTCCAGAGTGGGAGGCTTCCTCCTTTCCCCCTGACCCTGCCCTACAATATATTCCAGTCAATGACACTATTGAAATTCTGACAGCAATTTATATACAGTAACTGACTGCCTTCAGATGAGAGGCTAAACAATTTCTATGCACCAGGCTGCATTTTTCTCATGAAATGCAGCACTCTATTCTCCTCCCAAATCAGTATTTTTATAAGCACTATTTTTTTATAAGCATTATTCATGTATAGGCACTATTGACAGTTTTGCATGGAAGACATTGAAAAAAAAAAATTACAATAAACAAGCTCAGAGAAATATTCTGAGATAGGACTGCCCATGAGTATATTACTTACAAAAATAATCTCCCTGGCTTGGAAAAGGCTGTAAATATAGCTCCCATCCTGGAAAGACAGTTATGCACAGACTTCTCTTTATACGTGCTTGCAGTCCAGTGGAAGGCACTGGGCTCGTCGCATGATTAAACGTGTCTTAACAGTTTGCAAGACTGACATTTTCCCTGCCCAACAGAGCAACCCCACAATGAGCACCTCTCAGCTGTGCAACAGGATTTTAACAATTTTGAAGAATTTCAGGACTGCAGGCTTCTTCCACGTTAATGATCTAAAGATACATGCCTATATATAAAAAAGTTTATTTTCTTATGGACTTTACTCTGTATGAATACCCTCTGGTTATGACTAGCATGCCTATCTGTCATGCTGAGGGGTCAGAGCCAGCCTCCCAGATCTGACCATTATTGTATTTGGGAGAGTGGAGATTACGTCTCATTGTGAATTGTCTTTATTAAAAAAGACAGATATCTAAAATGATATTATTCCTGCTTTCATGAAAAACAGGTTCATAAGTGGACTGTCTCATTGTGAATTGCCTTTATTAAAAACCAGAGAGATATCTAAAATGATATTATTCCTGCTTTCATGAAAAACAGGTTCATAAGTGGACATTATCACTCTCTAAAACTACATGAAAGGAGGTTTAGTGAGGTGGGGCCCTGTCTCTTCTCCCAGGTAACAAGGAGCAGGACAAGGGGAAATGTCCTCAAGCAGTGCCAGGGGAGGTTTAGATTGCATCTTAGGAAAAAGATCTTCTCTGAAAGGGTGCTTGGGCATTGGAACAGGCTGTCCAGGGAAGTGATGAGGTTACTACTCCTGGAAGTGTTCAAAAGGTACAAGGATGTGGCATTTGGGGATGTAATTAGTGGGGAACACATTGGTGCTGGGTTAATGGTTGGACTCGATGATTTCAGAGATCTTTTCCATTCTTAGTGAGTCTATGAATCTGGTTCCATGTACCGCCATGCGTAATAAGGTCAAATATGAACTTTGCATCCAAATATTCTTTGCAGCTTTGTTCTGCATTTTTGTTCCAGATGTGAATTCCCTGTCTGTCCTCTGGTACCTCATAGCTCCCTCGTCTCCTCACTGTTATGAAACAACATGAGAAACAAGTAACCCCCCTCAAAAAAACCCCCAAAATCCCAAACCCAAAGCAAACCAGAAACTAAAAGAAAACCCCACGTACGCATTGGTAATGCTGCCACTTTGTGCGCCTGGTTAGTCCAGCATGGAATGGATACTGGTAGGAATAATGGCTATCAGCACAGACCTTTCAATCTAAATGAGTTTGTAGTATGTGGTGAGTGGAAGAGCACTTCCAAACCACCTCTTTCCCAGAGAAGGTGCGGATGCCTCATCCCTGGAAGCGTCCGAGGATGTTGGATGGGGCTCTAAGCAACCTGCTTTAGTGGAAGGTGCCCTCCATGGGCAGGGGGCTGAAACTAGATGGCCTTTTAAGGTCCCTTCCTAACCAAGCTATTCCATGATTCTACCCCGGCCCATTTCGCCTCAACAAGTGGAAGCAGTGCCACCCTTGTCCCGCCAGGACGCAGCGAGGAGTTGCTGTGACGCGGAGCGGGTTTCGTGAGGGGGAAAGTGTCACTTCTTACTGCCTGTAAACCTACGGACGGGCGCCCCGAGAGGGCCGCCGGCCGCGCCGCCGCGGTCCCTGAGGGCGCGCCGGCCCTTCCCGGCCCTTCCCGCCCTGGAAGCCCCTCCCCCCGCTGGAATGCGCCGGGAGGGGAGTGGAATGACGCGGGCGCCGCGGGGTCACGTGGCGCGAATGGAATGCCAACAATGTAGCGAATGTCCCGACTGCGCCCCGCACTCGGCGCCCGGGACGGCCAAGGGGGAAGATGGAGAGCGGCCCGCGCCGCCGCCGCTGCTGAGCCGCGCCTGCCGACCCGCGGAGGGCGAGCGGCGGCGCCGGGCGCCCCGGGGAGGTGAGCGGAGCGGGTGCGGGGGGCGCGGGTTCCCCTCAGCTCCGGGTGGGAGCGCTCCCCATCCCCCAGAACTGCTCGGCGCGGAAGGGAGAGTCCTGTGGGGAAGCGGGGGGCGCGGGCGAGCGGAGCCGGGTCGGTCCTCGAAGAGGGAGCGAGCGTCCCGTGTGCGAGTCCCCTCGTGGGGGCAGCCTGGGCGCCCTGCCCGCACCCTCCGACATTTTCCGGACACTCGTGTGACAGCGCAGCGCAGCTCCGGCGGAGCGGGGCGGGGGTCCGCCTGCCCGAGGCCTCTGCCCCAGCTGGCCGGAGCTGCTAATAAATGGCCGGAGTTTATTTTGGGAGCCTTCTGCCCACGAAGGAGTCGGGGGAGACGGGAGTGCCGGCGGTGGGAGCGGACCCTGCGGGCCGGTGTGGCGGGGAGCGAGGGCCCCGGGGCGCCGGCCGGGGGCACGCAGGGCCCGCGGGGTCCCGAGGCTGCGGCGGGGGCCCCGCTGCTCCCCGGCGGCTGAAGGTCACTGCCAAAACCCAGCGGCTCGGCACCCTCCCCGCTGCCAGCCGTGTGCGTGTTGAAATAGCCCTTTCCTCGGGAAAGGCACTCGCGCAAATGACGCAAAAAGGGCTCGTGTGGAGTGTCCGGGCTTTGCGGTCAGTCGCTGCCGGGCTGCTGTGGAGGGGGAAGGTGAGATGTTTCCCACAGCCCTGGCACTGGGACACGGGCACAGAGTCACTTCTGGACAGTTCTGTT